GGCACAAAAGCCATGGTGCAGTGCTGGGGGATTCCCTATTCTCTCCCTCAGGAGGGCAAGCTGAGTTCAGGTTAAGGCGTGCTGAATTTCGAATGACAACCCACTCTGGAAACAAACACCATGAGTTAAGAAAGAAGCCACACTGACATTCAGAAAGGACATTTATTGCCTTGAAGTGAGAAGGGACGTGGCTGTGACAAGCAGGCCACCTTGGCCTCCCGGGATGCAGGCCCAGGGACAGCAGAGCACCCAGCTGGGAAACCCACACGTACGCCCTGAGGGATCCCAGGGACTTCTTCCCGCCTGAGGAGGAGACATCCTGGGCAGGGTGCAAGAAACCTGCGCACCCTCTGTTTGGATGACTGAAGCTGTTGGCATCAAACTCTGCTCGGGAAGATCAGCCTGAGGAGAGAGGGAAGGAGGAAAGCCGTCAGGGGATCTTCTCCCGGACTTGCTCGCCCTGCCTACGGCACACCCCACAGAGGCTGATCTTTTCTTGTCCCCAAGTCATCTCCAGGGACCTTTCCTACAGCTCCTCATATCACTCCTCTCACACTCACAGCTACTCTTGTGACCTTAAACTGTGTGTGTACCAGGTCTCCACCTGGGAGGAAGTGCCCCACGGTGCTGTCCCCCCACGCCACAGATAACCCTTACACGTGCACACGCGAATCACTGCATCACTGGACACGTGCACACGCGCATCACTGCATCACTGGACGCGTGCACACGCGCATCACTGCATCACTGGATGCGTGCACACGCGCATCACTGCATCACTGGACGCGTGCACATGCACATCACTGCATCACTGGACACGCGCATCACTGCATCACTGGACGCGTGCACACGCGCATCACTGCATCACTGGACGCGTGCACACGCGCATCACTGTATCACTGGACACGTGCACACGCGCATCACTGTATCACTGGACACGTGCACACGTGCATCACTGGCTCCCACGGCTCACCCCCCGCCAGATGACACACCGCCTGAGCAAGGCTTGCGGAAGTAGATGATGAGGACAGTGCCCACAACGATGCCCAGCACACCCAGGCCGAAGGCCACGCCACACAGCACATTCTCCAGGAGATCCGAGGGCAGCGCGTTCCGGGGCACTGGAGGGGAGGGAAGTAGATCAGCCTGGAGACCTGGCTAGGGAGCCTCCTGCCCAGGGGAATGACTTGGTGTCTGGGATGACAAGGGAGCAACTGAGGCATGGAAGATTGAGTTTGGGTTAGAGTAAGTGGATTAAACAAAATCCAGGTAGAGGAAGAAGGTCCCTCCCATAGTCCTATCCCTTTTTGTCCCTGAAAGGACCAGACTTCCAGGGAAAGGCCTCACCCCAATAGGCAATTGCAGTGTAGCGGTCGATTTCATGAGTCACCATGCAGGAGAAAATGTCTGAGGGTTCCGGGGTGAAGTTTAAGTAAGAAAAGGCCTGGAAGGTGAGTCCGTCAATGGCTGAGACGAAAGTGGGCCCGACTCCTTCCACAGGGGCGGAGCCATGCTGCCAGCTCACCGTCAACGTGGGCGGGAAGAGATTACTGACAAAACAGACCAGCGTGTTGGGCTTGCCAAACTCCAGGGGCTTCATTGTGAATACCTCAGCGACAGGGAACCCTGGCGAGGGGATCAGGTGTGAGGGAAAGGAGAGACTAGTTTAGATGGTACCTCTGTGCTTCGAGGGGTCACGGCACAAGGAGAGCAGGGCAGACTCGGGGGAGTTGGGGCCCAGCGGGAAGTCTTCTTCCACGTAGGAACCGCAGCTAGACCTAGAAGGACAGCCAGATCCGGGCGACTCCGACCCCTCGCGCTGACGCCCTGTCTAGAGCTCACACTGGTGTCTAACCACGCACTGTCCCGCATTAAACGCGGGCACCTCATCGGATGCTTCCATTCTCCCCTTCCAGCTTGCTGGGCATAGTAATATAAGGGCTAATATTCAGTAAGCATCAAATGATCCCCGTTGAATTCATCAAGTTCAATAAATAGTTTTGAAAGTCTACCATATGCCAGGCACTTGTTTTCTGCCCACAACAAAACACAGGCTGCAAACCAAGGCTTGTGGAAAAACTGAGGTCCCGGGGAGAACCAGAAGGCATTAGAGATGGGGAGCTCATGGGAAGGGGAATCGTTCAGTGTACAGAGTAAGCAAGTTAAGAATGCAGCCTTCCTCCCTTCACTCCCCAAAACTCCTGACCTCTGGACACTGGGATTTTCCCATCGAGGTGTGGGCCTATTTGCTGGATCATCATCTGGCAGAACCCTGCGTCAAATAAGATAGCAGAGGCATCGCTCTGTTCCTCAGTCCACTTGGCAAATTCAGGCAGGCGAGGAACTCGGGTGTTCCGGGAAAAGTCGAAGGAGAAAAGCTGGTCCTCATCATAGGCCTCAGAGAGCCCCACGCCGGGACTGCCATACTGGCAGTACACCGTGTGCAGGAACGTGTGGTTCTGCGTGTCGTCTCGCCACCCTGGAGCAGGAGCTGCCAAGGAGACAGGGCGCGTCAGGGAGGTGGGAAGCTCCTCGTCCTCTTTAGCTGAGGACACCTCAAGGCCTGCTTCAGGGAGTGAGGGCCGAGGTGTGGCACGACACTCTCCCGTGTCTGTTATTCAGGCTTCCCCTCCCAGTGAGGTGAAGAAGAAATTAGTGGATCTCTCCAAACTTCCTCTCCCCATTAAACTGTCTAAAGTTGTAAAAAGTAAAAAAAAAAAAAAAAAGCCTTACTGTCTAGAGTGACAGATTCAGAGCCGTTCTGTTCGCGGCATGTCCGCACTGCACAAAGGCACCCAGACAAAGCAGCAAGTAGAAGCCCAATCCAGCCTGCACTCCGCTCGCGCTGCTCACGCCGCGTGTGTCCTGGCACAGAGCTGCCTCCTCCCAAAGGTGACTCCTCTGTCTAAGTGACATAGCCACCATACTGAAATTTATGGATGGATTTCCCAGTCTTAGAGGGAGGGAGAAGGAATTGCTATGGTCTCCCCATGTCGTAGACGGGACCATCTCACTTACCCTCAGAAACCAATGGTAAACTGAGAAACCAGCCTCCAGACATTTCTTTAGCCACTTCATTGGCACCAGGTGTCTCTGAAAATGCTTTCCCCTCCCTCAGTGCTCCAGAACTCCCAGCGACAGGATCGGGGGAAGGGACCCCACAACTACAGGAAATAATCCCTTTTCTATGAAACTCTTGGCAGGACCCCCAGCCAGCAGGAAACCTTCTACCCAACACCCAGAATAATAGAGTAAGAGGGATCTTCCAGATTATTCCTCCATTCTACCCTCTCCTCCACAGAGAAGGAAACTAAGGACCAATAAAGGTAGGAGAATTTCAACAATCACAAGGTGAGTTAATGACAGAAGGCAGAGTGGAATCCTGAGTGGAGGCGTGAAAATATTAATAACATTCGCCGAGATCAAATCCCAGTCTACCACCTGCCAGTGGTGTGAACTTGCACAAATAATGCTGCGTCTCATTTTTTTCATTTGTGAAATGGAGGGAATAATCTCTGCTTCCAGAGACTGTCTTAAATAGAACATGTAATGCACTCTGACATTGTTTACCATCCATAACCAGTAGCTCCCTTTCCCAATTCCGCGTTGTTTCCACTATCTCATAAGGCTCCCCACCATTTACAAAGCGCGGGGCTGCTCCTCAAATGCCCTGGGTGGGCTCCCCAGCTCTAATGCTGTCAGGGTGGAAGTAAAGGAGAGGCACCATCTCACCTGCAGGGAAGGCCCCGGAGTGAGGCAGCAGCCACAGAAGTTGCAGGAGCGGTAGCAGCGCAGCTCCTTGGCTCTGCCCATGAGCCATGTCTTCACGCCACACAGCAGGCCGGACCTGCCAACCCCGCAACCCAGGTCCCCCAGCTCCCGCCCCTAGAGGGTAGCTTAGATCCTGTTTCACCAGCTCATTTCCAATAGTTACCCTTGTCATTTTGTCTAAACCAATCACAGAAGTGTAGGGTTTAACATCATCAGTCACTGGGGAGAGACCTGGGGCCAGCAACCTCCTGAAGACTTGGCTCTTTGACCAGGCCTGAGTGCGGCATGTAACCAGGCTGGGGCCAGCGGGGCAATGTCTGCCTCCTGCTGGAGTTCCCGCTTTGGTCCCGGGCTGTCGGCCTCAGCCCCCAAACCGACTGGCTGGCTCTTCAGAGCAGCGCCGCCTCGTGGCCGAATGCAGCAGTGGGATGGCATCTTCCCACGGCAGCCCCCCAGGTCTTCAGATCCCGCCTCCTCCTCCCTCCTAGCCCCTCCCTCTTTCTTGGCAAGGTTATGCTCCTCCAGGCATGAGCTCTAATTCACTCTGCAGAAATATATTGAAGACTGAATATACTGAAGACTGGGTATTGGGCCTAGTGCTGAAATACAAAGAGGAATAAGGCATATTCCTGCCTTCAAAGAACTTAGAGTCTTGGGATGGGGGAGTGGGGGTAGAATCAATGAATAAATAATTACACAACAATGTAATGTATTCAAGTAAGAATGTGCCAAGTGTTTTTAAAGCAGGAGTAATGCTATGAGGATGGGGGAATAGGTGGAACATAATCAGGCAGGCTCCTAAGAGTCCTGACGTTAAAACAACTTGACCAGCAGAATGCGAGGGGAAAGGAAAGCATCCCAGGGCAAGGGGTAGGCGGATGTGTGAAGTTCACAGCCGTTCAGAGCTCCTCTTTGGAGACCCTTATGTCCTAGTTGATGTGAATGTTGTGACAGCTGCCCATGTGTCCTGTGTGGTAATGGGGGTCCTGAGGTTAGAGGGGTCTCAGGATGAGCTAGAAACTCGGGCAAGAGCCAGATGCCATAGGCCCTGGTACGCACAGGTGGGGCTTGTTTCCACTTAGTAGATGATAGAGACATTAAAAGTGGGGAGTGAGGCTGGGTGTGGTGGTGTGTGCCTGCGGTCTCCAACACTTTGGGAGGACGAGGTGGGAGGATTGCTTGAGGCCAGGAGTTGGAGGCCGCAGTGAGCTACGATCAGGCTGCTGCACTCCAGCCCGGGTTACAGAGCAAGACTCTGCCTCTTAAAAAAACTGGGGAGTGACACAACCATTTTAGCATTTTAGAAAAGTTGTTCTGATTGATGCTTCAAAACGATGAACTAGAGCTTGGAAAGAATTGAGGCAAACTGCTGGTCAAGAGTCTGTAGCACACTATGCCAAGGAAAAAAGTTTCACAGCCACACCCCACCCTCTTGTAGCAAGCAATATAGTAATAATTTAAGTGCGAGATGGTAAGAGCGTGAATTAACTCATAATCAGAGGAAACGGAGGGAACAGAATATTGAGATAATTAGGAAGTAGAATCTAAAGAGTTTGGCTACTGATTAGATGTGGGAAGGAGAGGAGATGGGGAGTCAAGGATAACTCCGTGTGGTTGGCTGGGTGGGTGGTCAGTGATGGACCGAATTGAAGCAGAAAAAAATGCCATGGGAGCAGGTTTAAAGAGGAAGCGAATGAGTTCAATTTTGTACGTGGATGTGAAATGCCAGCAGGACGCCAGCTGCAGCAGCGCAGGAGGCCGCGAGGTGTGGGGTGCAGACCTCAGGCGGGGGCTGCAGAACCTGCCTGGGGAGTCATCGGCACAAATGTGGATGCATGGGCTGTGGGCACCCACATAAACATAAACCGTGCAGAAGGAGCGGGAGGTGAAGTCAGGATGTAGGTAAGCATGGGTTCGAGCCCAAACTTCATACAAGTTGTCATCCAGGATCCAATCAGGAATATGTAGCCCCTCTAAGTACTTCAGACTGAGAGAATTTAACGTAGATGATCGGTTACAAAAGTGTTAAAAGGGCAAGCGGTCCAAAAAGGAGGAGGGTCCTCGAAGTGCAAACAGAAAAAAGGATCAGTACCTGGAAATCAGATGCTGCCATCGCCCCTCAGCTGGAATCCACAAATCCACACCTGCTGCTTGTGGGAGACACTGTCACGGTCAGTTCTTATCTACTAAAAAGGTGCCACCTCCACCAGGGCTAGAATCATAGAGAAAGTACTTCTGCCCTGGAGGCTGGAATCCAGAGTCACCCATTCTTCCTGCCGCTACATCTACCAGCAATCGCCAGCAGCTGTCACCTGTTAGAGGCTGAAGCAGGAAGCTTCTCAGTCCCTTCTGCCTTCTGCTCTCCCGCCAGCGTCTCCTATCAGCAGAATCTAAGAGGCCGCCAGCTGGCCAGGAAGCCTGGGAAACACACCTGCTGCCTCCTAGGCAGACGGTCAAACGCGGTATGGGAGGGTGGGTGTGGCACTGAGACAACAGGTAATAGCCAGGACACTGAAAGACGCTAAGCTGTAAGAACCTGGTGGCACCAGGAGCGTCCAGAAAGCTAAGAGACGAACAAGGAGGAAGTAGATCCTAGAAGTAAAGTGAGGTGTTCCATTAAGGAGCACGAGGTCAGTGTTATGAATACTACTCAAAAGTCAAGGAAGGACTGAAAAGTGTCCTGAGATTTGGTGATTCTGAGGCGGCTGGCAAATTTATTGAGAGCAGCCTCGGTGTTGTGGTGGGAGTCGACTCCAGATTGTGGTGGGCTAAGAAGGAAGTGGGAGGTGAGGAAGAAACCATCAGGGTATATGCTTCAAGTTCGAGAGAGAAAAGAAAAAGACAGAAGGGCTGGGGGAAAGGCAGTGAGAAAGCTCTGATGTGGCAATTAAGTAATCTGAGAAATTAATCTATGTGAGTGCAATCCGTTAGTCTTTCTGAGACCTTCAAAATCGGTACCCCCGCCCCCTGTTTTTAGAGACGAAGTTGCTATGTTACCCAGTCTGGAAAGCGGTGGCTACTCACAGGTGTGATTATAGTGCATTACAGCCCTAAATTCCTGGCCTCAGGGATCCTCCTGCCTCAGCTAGAACTCATTCTTCCTGCCCTGTAGCTAGAACTACTGGCCCGTGCCACCATGCCCAGCTTCTTACTCCCTTTCGATAAACAAATAACAGCAGCAGTAACAGCCAAAAATAAACACAAAAGCAGTCCCTTGACCTCCTGGATATTCTGGGACAGCAACGCATGTGTCTGTGTGGTAGAGGAAGGGTGCCAGGGAAGGAGTAGGGTTTAGAAATCATTGTAACACTCCAAAAACAAAAGAACATTTTCCCAGTATCCCAAGCTTTGTGGACTAATGCGTCGGCAGTTCTGGCGGCAGGGAGAGTCAAGCCCCGTAGGACAGTAGGACGTTGACGAGCCTAGCAGGACTGTATGGGAAGATACGTGGCACACAGCCACCTAGAGCTCTAACCCAGGGTCGCCAAACTTCTTCTGCAAAGGACCAGATGGTGAATATTTCAGCCCTCGTGGACTGCCTGCTCTCTGTAGTGAGCATCAGCTGCGGCCGAAAGCGCCCACAGGCAGCATGTAAATGAAAGAGCGCCCGTCCCTGGTGTCCTCCTAGCTTTTCCTCCCACATCTTGAGCGTCTCCCTCTCCGTCTCCCTTGTAGACTCCTTTCTTTCAACTACTCTTTAAATACTGGTGTTCCCTGGAGGTTTGTCCTCAAATCTCTTTATTTATGGACACTAAAATTTGAATTTCATGTAATTTTCATGTGTCATGAAATATTATTTTGCTTTTTCTCAGCTATTTAAAAATGTTAAGACCATTCTTAGCTTCTAGGCCATTTAAAAACAAGTGGTTGGCAAGATTTTGCTCACAGCCCTTAGTTTGCTGAATGATGTTCTATGCATGTGGTCAGAACTGGGATAAAAATAAACTCATTTTTTAAAGAAGAGCCCTATTCCACCTTATTTATGGGAATGGCAATCAGTTAATGAACACGTTGTGCCCAGTTACAACAGGTTATTTGGAAGATCTGGGAAAGAACAGGAGAAGGTGGGCTGGGTGTGGGGGCTTGGGAACAGGTATAGCAGACACTGCAATTACTCTGGGTGAGAGGAATTAGGCAAAGGGGTCCAAGTTCTCCACAGAGAGCAAAGTGTGGACAAGACCAGAGTAAGGAAAAATATTACCACCCCTCAGCAAGACTATGGCAAGGAGTGGTTAACTCCTTTCTCTTCCTTCTATAATCCCAGTATAAATGGTAACAAGTTCAAACATTTATAACTACTCTTTCCTCTAAGTAATCCTTCCTCCTGCCAGGACCTCCAACCACCTCCATCATAGATATTTCAGAAATAGGCACTAATCAATTTAGGGAAATAATGATCATGGGCAAGAGAAGCAAGGAAGCCAGTTCTGCTTCACAGTAGCTCCCTGTCTTCTTTGCCATTAGCTACAAAGGCCTCTGAAAATAATGGCATAGCACCTGCAAATCCAGGCCATGGCTTTCTAACGCCCAGCGCTCCCATCCCTCTCTAACACTGCCCCATTTTCCCCCTGGTAGAGCCAAATTTCCTGAAATGTCATGTCCCCACTGTTACACTTGCCATTTAATCTTTAACCCTTGACAATAAAATTGTTCAACATTTTTTTGTTGCTAAATCAAATGGATTCCTTGCAGTCTCTGCAACATTTGACACTGTTAGCTATACCCTCAATCAGTCTAATTTTTGGCATCTCTCATGGCACTCTCTCCTAGTTTTTCTTCCCAGTTCTCTAGCATCCCCTTTCAGCCTCCTTTGGGGATGCCTTTCTTTTAGCTACTCTTTAAGTATTGGTGTTCCCTCGAGTTTTGTCCTCAACCTTTACTCTTCTCACACTATACACTTGCCCCAACCTTTACCCTTCTCACACTATACACTTGCCCCGGATGGTCTCACTTACTCCCACATGCCTTCGGTTACCACCCATTTGCTGACATCTTCTAAATTTACCTCTTCAGCTCAGATCTTGCTCTGAGTTCCACAGTACCATATATTCAGCTGCCTCTGGTCATCTCAACTTGGATGTTTGCAACAGCAGTTCTCAAACCGTATTCTCCACAAGATAATAGTGTTTCTCAAGAAATAAAAATGTGTAAGTTTGATGGCAGCAATATTTTGTTTTAAAATTTATTTCAACATAGACATAATAAAACATCAAACACATTCATATAATTTTTATTATGTATCAATTTATTACATTTAATAAGGCTATTTTATTTGTATGCAACAGAGACCAATTCTGGCTAACTTAAATTTTAAAATGGGGATTTATTGGAAAGATATTGATCTAGCTCATGGAATAAAAACAAGAGTTGAATAAGCTAGCCTCAGGAAGAATAATCACAGGGCCCTTAGCAGTGGGGGTTGAGTTGCCATTAATATGCTCACCTGCAAAGGCCTCCTGCCTCTCTTTCAAGCTTCACATTGCTGCAGAGACTATCTGACTGACTCAGCTTGTGTCAGTGTGCAACACTGGATCCATTAGCTGTGGCCAGGCACAATATCACCTCTATGTGTCTGAGCTATTCCTACAGAAGGGAGAATCAGGCTGGGCGCGGTGGCTCACGCCTGTAATCCTAGCACTTTGGGAGGCCGAGACGGAAGGATTGCTTGAACTCAGGAGTTCAAGACCAGCCTGAGCAAGAGCGAGACCCTGTCTCTACTATAAATAGAAAGAAATTAGCCAAACAATTAAAAATAGAAAAAATTAGCCGGGCGTGGTGGCGCATGCCTATAGTCCCAGCTACTCGGGAGGCTGAGGCAGGAGGATCACTTAAGCCCAGGAGTGTGAGGTTGCTGTGAGCTAGGCTGACGCCATGGCACTCACTCTAGCCTGGGCAACAGAGTGAGACTCTGTCTCAAAAAAAAAAAAAAGAAGGGAGAATCATTATGAACCAAGTAACCAGCTCAGTACAGCTATGCCCAACATATGACATCCCAGATGATTGTGTGAGATCACCTGAGGCATAAGCATGAGGCTAAATCTTTGTACTAATGCTCAAACGTCATCTCCCAGCTACCTGCTCAGGTAACACATATCATCTACTTGATGATCACTGGTCCATCACTTGTCTTATCACATATTCAAATTATGTTTATATGATTCAATGTTGATTTATTAATAAATTTATACTCCACTAATTTCCTTGGCTCTATGCCTAAAAGGTTTTTTTTGAAGAATTTTATTATGAAAAATTTCAAGCATACTCTGAAGAGAAGAATAATAAATGCCAATGTACTCTCATGAATTTCAACAATTTTCAACATTCTAGCATTCTTTCATTCTTGTTTCATCTCCTGTTCGCACACTTTATTTTTCTGGAGTATATTAAACAAATTCTGTCATAGCATTTTATCAGTAAATACTTCTAATTGTATCTATAATACTTTTCTTTTAACATAACTATGATACCATCACCACAAACAACAAAATTAAAAATAATTGTTTAACTTCCCAAATTGTTAAAAACCCAATCTGTGTCATTTCTCCCAATTATCTCAAAAATGTCTAAGAGGAAAAAGTTTTAAATGAAAAGCAGTCTTATAATTTTCAAACTGTGCCTTTGGTTAAGAAGAATTAGTGAGTTTTCTATTTTACATTGTGTTTCATAAACCCACTGATAATCAAATAATGAATTCTAATTAAGCATTCCATACGCAAATACATTTAGGAATTGCTATTCTGAATGTATCTTCATCATCACCATCTCAAGCTTTACAAAACTAAACTCATTATCATCTTCCAATTCCTATATTTAAAACCTCAGTAGGCCGGGCGCTGTGGCTCACGCCTGTAATCCTAGCTCTTGGGAGGCCGAGGCGGGCGGATTGCTCAAGGTCAGGAGTTCAAAACCAGCCTGAGCAAGAGCGAGACCCCGTCTCTACTATAAACAGAAAGAAATTAATTGGCCAACTGATATATATATATAAAAAATTAGCCGGGCATAGTGGCGCATGCCTGTAGTCCCAGCTACTCGGGAGGCTGAGGCAGAAGGATCACTGGAGCCCAGGAGTTTGAGGTTGCTGTGAGCGAGGCTGACGCCACGGCACTCACTCTAGCCTGGACAACAAAGTGAGACTCTGTCTCAAAAAAAAAAATTAAATTAAATTAAAAAAAAAAAACCTCAGTAAATAATAAGATTGTCCACCCATCACTTGAGCCACCAGTGTGGAAGTCAGCCTTGACAACTGCATCTTCCTCAAACCTTCCCATCCAATTGTTCACTAAGTACTATCAATTCTATCCCTTTCATATCTGTTGAATCTGTCCCTTCCATTTACTTCTTTATTTATTTATTGAGACAGGGTCTCACTCTGTCATCCGGGCTAGAGTGCTATGGTGTCATCACAGCTCACTGCAACCCCAAACTCCTTGGTTCAAGCTATCCTCCTGCCTCAGCCTCTGAGTAGCTGGGACTACAGGCATCTACCACTGCACCTGGCTAACTTTTTTTTTTTTTACTTTTGGTAGAGACAGAGTCTTGCTATTTATTGCCCAGGTTGCTCTTGAACTCCTGGCCTCAAGGGATCCTCCTGTCTTCACCTCCCAAAGTGTGAGGATTACAGGCGTAAGCCACCATGCCCAGCCTGTCCTTCCTTTTCTTTCCATTCCCCCTGGTCCAGGCCTTCAATGATCTGTTTTTTCCTGGATATTGCAACTTTCTTATAATCAGTCTCTCTATCTCCAGTCTTATTATTTTCCAGGGTGCTGCCAGAGGGATGCATATTTTTAGTATGCATATTTGATCAAATTATACTTTTGCATAAAAACCTTCAATGATTCTCCATAATCTGCCTGTCTTGACATGGCCCTTAATGATCTGAACCCTACTTACTTCCTTCTATATGTCCTTTGAGATGAAATCTCACCTCCCTCAGGAAGACTTCTCTAAACCCACAGTTGACATTAGTAGCCTCTTCAGCATTTTTCCACAGCACCCAGTGTCTGTCTTATCATCATTTTTGTTGTATTATTCTCTTCTATTTATATGTCTGCTTCACAGCCATCTCACCTCCACTGCAAGGTACTTAAGGGATCATATCCTACTTTTTTTTATATTCCCAGCATCCACCAAGAAGGCCCACCAAAAACTGACTGCTCACTCAATGAACAAATGGGCTGCCAGTCACTGAAGGTGCTCAAGCTAAGACTGGAAGAGCCTTCAAGTATTAGATGGTGATGGATCCTCCCTTCTGACAGATGTTTCAACACTAAATCTGATCAGGCATATCTATGGGCCATTCTATGAATACCTTCATCTCCACTGCCTTCCCTGTGCACCCCACTACCCTTCCCATTCTATTCTAGGTCCTTCCCAACTATCATTTCCTTCCTATTCTCTGCTACCTCCTACTTCAGAGAACAAACCTAGCCCTCTAGCTCCCACAATTCTTCACTCCCAGCTCAGTATATCTCTCCATATCCATATTCATCCTTCCCTTTTAGCTATATTACTGTGATGTAGCAATCTTCATAACTACTCTACAGAGTTGTAATTTATTGTCCTCATTGTATAAACAATAAAACTCAAAAAGGTTCAGTTATTTAGCAAATATTTATTGGCTACCGTCTATGTGCCTAGTAGTCTGCTGTGTATCAGACACCTGCCACCATCAAACTTACAGTCTAATGAAAAGAAAGAGACATTAAACAAGTAAGCATACAAATCCACAGAAACAAATTGTAAAAGGTACTACAAAGGAAAGACATTGAGATTCAGGAGAGACTAAATGGAGTGGGGAACCTAGTGGGGAACCTAGATCTCATTAAGATGAGATCTGAAGGGTAAGTCGGAATTAGCCAGGAGGAGAATGGAAGCAGAGTGTTCCCACAGAGGGAACAGCATGTATGAGGCCCTGAGGAAGGCAATGGGCTGTATCCTTCAAGGAAATGAAAGATGACCTTATTGAGTAGAAGACAGCAGATGAGGCCAGCGGTAGGCAGAGGCAAGACCATTGAGACCTATGGATCACATGAGAAGTACGGATTCTTCTCTAAGTACAACTAGTTTTGATTCTGTGACCGCTTTATTCCTTCTCATATGTGAATGTGTGCTAGGTTCCTAAATGACCTACCTTCAGTCTTTCCAAAGCCACTCCACAGTTGCCAAATAAATAAATAAATAAATCCCACAATTCAATCTTCTTACAAATAAATCTTCCTTCCCCTCTCAAAAAACTTAAATGGCTCTTTCCCTTCTACTATATTCAGTCTCAATTACTTGGCCTGGGATTTCAGGTTCCCCATACCCTGGCTTCTATCCCTTGACTACAGAACCTGCTCTCCAATATTAGTACTGATCCCCAATTACCAACCCCATGAGTTTCCCCCCTTCTTCATCAACCCTTACACCTATCTATAGGGTTTCACTTCTTCAGTCAGAACAGGGGTTTTTAACCTGCAGTCCAGATGCCATAGAATTCAGAGGTCTAGTCCTAGCCAAAGCAATTAGGCAAGAAAATGAAATAAAAAGCATCCAAATTGGAAAGGAGGAAGTCAGACTGTCCCTATTTGCAGACAACATGATCTTATATACAGTAAACACTAAAAGTTCCACCAAAAAACTCTTAGAACTGCTAAACAAATTCAGTAAAGTTGCAGAATTTAAAATTAACATACAAAAACAAATGTCATTTCTAGACACCAACAATTAACTAGTGGAAAAAGAAATCAAGAAAACAATCCCACTTACAATAGCTACAAAAAAAAATAAAATATCTAGGAATAAATTTAATCAAGGAGGCAAAAGAATTCTACAAGGAAAACTATAGAACATTAATGAAAGAAATTGAACAGGTCACACAAAAAAAGGAAAGACATGCTATGTTCATGGATTGGCAGAATTGATATTATGAAAATGACCATACTATTGATAGCAACCTACAGATTAATTATAATTCCTATCAAAATAACAATTACATTCTTTGCAAAAATAGAAAAAAATTCTAAAATTCATATGGAACCACAGAGGACCCCAAATAGTCAAAGCAATCCAGAGCAAAAAGAACAAAGTTGGAGATATCATACTATCTGACTTCAAAATATGCTACAAAGCTACAGTAACTAAAACAGCATATTGGCATAAAAAAAGATACATGGACCAGTGAAACAGAATAGAGAACCCAGAAATCAACCCATGTATTTACAGCCAATTGGTTTTCAACAAAGGCACCAAGAGCATTCAGTGGTGAAAGGACTATCTCTTCAATAAATAGTGCTTGAAAAACTGGTAACCATATGCAGAAAAATAAAACTAGACCCCTATCTCACCATATACAAAAATCAAATAAAAATGGATTAAAGACTCACACATGTAATACTCAAAACTATAAAACTACTAGAAGAAGGCCAGGCGTGGTGGCTCACGCCTGTAATCCTAGCACTGTGGGAGGCCGAGGCGGGAGAATCACTCAAGGTCAGGAGTCCAAAACTAGCCTGAGCAAGAGCAAGACCCTGTCTCTACTAAAAATAGAAAGAAATTAATTAGCCAACTAAAAATATATAGAAAAAGTTAGCCGGGCATGGTGGCATGTGCCTGTAGTCCCAGCTACGCGGGAGGCTAAGGCAGGAGGATGGCTTGAGCCCAGAAGTTTGAGGTTGCTGTGAGCTAGGCTGACTCCATGGCACCCTAGCCTGGGCAACAGAGTGAGACTCTGTCTCAAAAACAAAACAAAACAAAAAAATACTACTAGAAGAAGACATTGGGGACTTTGGTCTGAGCAGGGATTTATTTTTTTTTTTTTTGTAAGACTTCAAAAGCACAGGCAACAAAAGCAGAAATAGACAAATGGAATTACCTCAAGCTAAAAAGCTTCTGCACAGTAAAGGAAACAATCAACAGAGAAGAGACAACCTAGGGAATTGAAGAAAATATTTGCAAACTGTCTATCTGACAAAGAGTTAACAATGAGAATATTGTAATACTACAGAAACACATACTAGCAGATCATTACACTTCTTTAAATACAAGAGTCCCCCCTTATCTGAGAGGAATATGTTCCAAGCCCCCCGGTACATGGTTAAAACTAAGGATAGTACTGAACCCTATATATACTATGTTTTTTCCTATAAATAACTATGACAAAGTTTAATCCATAGATTAGGCAAAGTAAGAGATTAACAACAATATCCAATAACAAAATAGAACAATTATAACATGTTGTGATAAAAGTTATGTGAATGTGGTCTCTCTCTTGAAATATCTTATTGTACTTATTCTCAGATTGGGATTGACCTCAGATAACTGAAACCACAGAAAATTAAACTGCAGATAAGGGGAGACTATTATATTTTGATAATTGTAGTTTATATTTTATTTTATGCATATACAAATAATACTGTCTGACAAGGTCCAAGGGTTTCACCGAATTGCCAAAAAAGTCCATGGCACAAAAAAGTTTAAGAACTCCTGATTTAGTCATTCATTCAAAAACATGAAATCCTCACTGGAACTATCTCTTATTCTCGCTTTCTCACATTATGTTGCTTTGCTTCTCCTCCTTGTCTGATGCTCTTCCCATTGGTTCCACTTCCTATTCTTGCTCCCTGTATGAGGATCTAACCCAATGCTCAATCCTTGACCCTAACTTGTTTTATACTTCCTCCCTTATAAATCTCATCTACTTTCAGCTGATTCAAACATCACCTCAGAGATGACTCTCAAATCTACTTTTCTTAAGTTTTTTTCTCCAATTTCAATCCTGGATCTTAAACTCCCTGCCATGCCTGGAAACAAGGATAACATACCATCCACAGGCAGCTGGATTCAAATCCCAGCTCTTCTACTTACCAAAGTGTGACCTTGGGTACATGATTTAACATCTGCTATAGTTTGTCCCCTCCAAAACTCATGTTGAAATTGATTGATGTTGTGATGATATTAAGAAGTGAGACCTTTAAGAGGTTATTAGGTCATGAGGGCTCTGCCCTCATAAATGGATTAATGTTATTATCCTGAGAGTGGGTTGGTTATTGCAGGAGTGGATTTCCACTAAAAAGGGTAAATTCTGGCCCCCCCAGCCTCTGTCTTATGTGCTTGCTTGCCCTTCTGCCATGGGATAATGCAGAAAAAGACTCACTCCACATGCTGAAGCCATGCTCTTGGACTTCCCAGTCTCCAGAACCGTGAGCCAAATAAACTTCTATTGTTTATAAATTACTCAGTCTGCAGTCATCTGTTATAGCAGCAGAAAACAAAGACATCTCTTGCTTCAGTTGTTTCATTTGAAAAATGAGGTGACAATGGTAGTACTGCCTCCATATGGTTATAGATTAACAGTGCTACTACATGCGAAGCAGTTATAACAGTGCCTGCCACATTCTAGGTACTCATCAAATATTAACTATCACCAATCACATCTCCTTCCAACCCCTTACATTTTTATGTTTAACACATACAGTGCTAGCCACTGGAAGACAGAATTGCTATCTAACAGCATAATTCTGACTAATTCTTATTCAAAAAAAACTTTCAGTGGCTCCTCCTTGGGTACAAACTTAATAGCACTAGAAACCCTCTATAATGTGCCCTCCGCAAATAAATTTACCTTCCAGTTTTCTCTATTCCTGCTCTACTTCTTATAGCTTGTATTTTGACTAGATTGACCTGTACTGCACCCTGTGAAAATAACCTAGCTATTCTGCTTCTATCTTTCCTCATACCATTCCAACATCTCAGATGTATACCTTAAGGAAATGATTCTGTCTTTGATTATTCCTCAATACTATATATGGTGCCCCATAACACATATATATTGCAATCTTACCTAAGTCATATACTTAAGCATCAATTTACTAAAACATTTGCTCCATTTGTGAGCACCTCATATTGGCCGGGTACTATGCTGGGACCTGGGGATTAAAAAGAGAGAGAGAAAAGAATAAAACATGGTCCTGCTCTCTCAAGATCAAAGGCCAGTAGTGGAGAGAAACATGTAATAATAAGCACATACATGCCATTCACTGTGGATAGTACAATCATAAGGGGAAGGGACACCAAAGAATGAACAGTCAGCTCAATTTAGAAGAGTAAGCTTTTCAAAGATGTTGGTATTTGTGCTTAGATTGGGGAAAAGTTTATTCCATGTAGAGTGTGCACATGTGTAAAACATAGAGGCATGAAATATGTCTGGGAAATAGTTCAATATGGCTGGAGTATACAGCCTGAGAGGAAGTGGCTAGACATAGTAATTTGGATCTTGTCACATAGTCAATGAGAAATTAATACAGGGTTTAAACAATAGCATATAGCCAGAGCTGTGTTTTGGAAAGCTCATTCCTGGTTGTATTATGGCAGAGGCAGAGAGGAAAGTTTAGAGCAGTACCGTCCAACAGAACTTTCTGCAATGACAGAAATGTTCAATAATCTGTGCCGTCTCATCTGTTAGCCACTAGTCCCATGCGCCTATTGAGAATTTAAAATGTGGCTAGTGTAACTGAGGAACTAAATTTAAAACTCTATGTGATACTAAACTCTGAAAAGCCACATGTGGTTAGTGGCTGTATTGGGCATCGCAGCTCTAGAGAAAAGGAAATCACCTAGGAAACAGTTGATGTAGTTCAGGTGATAGGACTAGGACAGGAGTATGATTCAGTGGATATTTAAGAGGCAAAATAATAAGTCTTGTGGATGTAAAGTTGTGAGAAAAAAAATCAAGAGTGGCTCCCAGATTCTAGACTTTGAAACTGAATAGCTACCTTTACTCTGGATAATACAAAAGGAGCAGGTCTAGACTATATACAGATTGCATCAATTCTGAACATGTTGAAGTGTCTGAGGGTTATCCAAATGGAAATATTTAATAGGAAGTTTAGATTAGGAGAGGTGTCGGAACTAAAAATACGGATTTGAGAGGCTTAGAGTCATTGAGAGAGATTACCTAGAGATGAATAGAACTAGAAGCAAACAGGCATAATCCTGGCAAACATCAACACGCAGCAAGGTGCTAAAGAACAACACACACACAAAAGACTGGGAAGGAACAGTAATACAAGTCAGAAAAGAAACAGGTGAAACTGGTCACAGAAATCAGGGGTATAGAGAATGTGAGGACGGAAGCATGATCAAATGTCAAATGCTTCAGAGAGGTCAAATAAGGTGAGAACTGAGAAGTACTTCCTGACTTTGGCAATTAGGAGGTTCTTGGTGACATTTGCCAGAAAAGCTTTGGTGGTGGGAGCCTGGCAGAAATGGGTTGAAGAGTGGGGATAGGGAGAGAAAGAGAGATAGAGAATCTAGATAAGGATAATTTTAGGTTTTGACTGTGCAAGGAAGCTGAGAAATAAGTAAGAGTCTAAAGGGTGTTTGATATCGAGAGAGTTCTTTTCTTTTTTTCAGCTGGGAAACCAAAATGGAGGGCAGCCTCAGGGTAGCAGAGAAATGGACCACATAAATAGTAAAGAGACTTCCTTAAACTGAAGGGAGGATTCCTAGTGAAATGGAAAAGGGATACACACCACCCAGTTTGCAGATGAGAGACGGGAAGCCACGAATTCTGCAAGGTGGCCTTTCTGTTCTGACAGGTGATATCTGTCGGTGGAGAGAGGAGATTAGGGACCGCAGAGTGAAAATCTGGACGATACTATGATGGATGGAGAGGTTATCGGCTAAGGACAAAACACTACTTTCAGTAGCAAATGAATCATCATAACATTTTGTTACCAATTCTTATGAAATTTATTCAAGATTGAGAGACTAGAGGGTAAAGCTTTAGGAGTATAAGATCTTTAACTTAAATGGTCCACCACGAGGTCAGCAGAGAAGGAAAAGTGGTCAGCTGATAGATTTCGTATAAGGCAGAGGAGTCCAGGGACTAACAGGTCTCAACGAAGTAAAGAAGTCTAGGGTAAGTTCAGGGCACTCGAGAGGTTGTAGAGCTACCGAAGAGTAAGAAACCGAGTAACACGCTGACTGTGGTGTGCATGTCATCTGCCCGCGAGGCAGGCACCGAGAGGGCGATAAACTGCCCCACTCGGTGGTCGTACCAAATTACGCCGGGGGAGGGGCCGCACCCCGCAAACCCTCACAGCTCCAGGTGCGGGCCCCATTCTCCTTAACTAACAGCCCGGTGCCGCACGCTTCCGCTGGACTCCGGCCAGGACGTGCCAAGCAGCACCTTACACCGGCGAGGATGAGGCCCGGCCGGCTGCCCCCGGCCGCGGCGCCAGCCCGCGGGCAGGGGAGGAGGGGCCTCGGAGGCCGGCGGTCGGCACGCCGCACCCGCTTCGCCCCACCCACTGCGCGCGCTCCGAGCCCCGCCGCGGGATCCGCGGCTCCAGCCCGGACGCCTGCGCACTGCCGCTCTCCTCGCGGCCTGCGGCACTCCTTCCCCTCCCCCCAGCCGGTCGCGCCCTTGCGCCTGCGCAGTGTACGTTCTAGGGCTGCGGCAGCCATGCTGAACCCGTACCGAGAGGCGAGTGGGGGGGACAGGGTGGAGGACAGCGGGATAGGATGCCAGGCATATGGAGAAGCAGCAGCATTAAAACGCTCTGGGTCTCGGGAGACCGGCCTCGGCCATGCGGCCCCTTTGGCCCCTTGCGCCATCCCCAGGAACGTCCGGAAAACGGGCCTTCGTGGCCAGGGGGAAGGGCGGCGGGCACGTGACCCAGTTCCGCCAATCTGGGTGCTGCTGACGTGGCCGCGCGGCCCCGATGCTCTCCCCACCCCCAAGCCGGTCGGGAAGGGCGGGGCTGGGGGCTACGTCCCCTCCCCCAACACGGCTCCATTTTCCATGGGGGGGGTTGACACCCCGGATTACATCCTCCCCCCGTACCAAGCCGAGGGCAACCTTGGAGCCTCCCTGGAAGGTTCCAGGATGCAGGTGAGAAGGGGCCCTTGGGGGCGGGGATGTCAGTCATTTAAGTGCTTAACCAATGGTGGGGAGTGCGGGAGGGGGATTCTTGGGGTTCAGAAAAGAATCCCGAGGGTGGGAGGATTCGTCCTACTAACACTTTATGGCCAATGGGAGCATGGAGGGGGGCGAGCGGGTGAGGGCTACTCTGAGGGGGGAGGGGAATGGCTAACCTCCTGCCTCCATGTGAGTTGGAGGGCAAAGGGGTGAGGGGGCGGCGTAGGCCCCCATTCCATTCGTCCCCTGGGGGTACAGCAGCCCGAAGCCAGGTGAGAAGGGATCCTTTTGGCGGCGGAGGGAGGGGGTGACCTGGTGGTGGGCAGAGGAGTGGGAGTGTGGCTGGAGTTCTCCTCGTGGATGTGAATGCCTTTGGAGTTGGCAATCCAGGTTGTGAACTGAGATCGTTCCCAGGCGCCAGCTCCCTTTCTCCCCAGAGACTCTGGAAGGAGCATTTGTGTGCTCCCTTTGTGTCAGCGGTGGGAAGCTCACAGGCATCACATGGCTTGCTGGAGGTTACGCTTCGAGCCGCTTACCGAATTTGTGTGCATTCACGTGGATACGGCCTGCGGGGCCTTCCGCACAAGCCTTCGTTGCCCCTGTAGGGTCTTACCTGAGCACGTGTCTCCTTCAGGCTTGCGGTGGGGGACGTAACAAGCTGAAAGCTTAGGGTCGGCTTAGGAACAGAAACTAGGCCCAAGGTGGGCGCTGGGTGGAGGTTGGTAGAAAGCGTGGCCCGAGAGGGGCGGGAGGTTCGGGACCTGGAATGATTTCACAGCTCCCAAGGTTTCGGATTTCTCCAGGGTGGCCTGTTCCAATGCTTCCTTCATCCCATCCCCCACATCCTCCAGCCTGAACAGCTCTCTCCTTGTGTACTGCGGGGGAAGGAAAGGAAAGGAGGCAACAGTTACTTTTCCAAATTACTGAGTAGCAGTAGCCTCCCCTGTGACTCTTGTGGAGGAAAAGAGGACAGGGAGGGATCGGGGAGCGGTGATTTTTCCGGAATGCGGGGAATAAACGAGAGTAATATCCGGTGCCATATTCCTTCCTAAGGCCCAGTATTTCCTCAGCGTCCTAAGGTTTTCTCCCCTGACCGGCCCCCTGTGGTCCTCTGTTCTGACCTGCGGAGCTCCGGTGGAAAAAGCAAATAGGGAGGTTGGGCCACTAGGGGGAGGGGAGAAGGCCTCTGCAAAGTTGCTGTGTCATTGCCCTCCCTGCTGCAGCACCCGGGCGGGGCCGCGCGTACTTGTGGGGGCCAGGGCCTGATCCCTGGTGGGGGAAGGGGACTCTGCTTTCCTAATGATCACTTCCCCCCGCGGGGTTTGCCCTACTGGGGTGGTCGAGAAGACTGGAGGTTGGCGGCCATTTTAGACGCAGTAACCAAGGTTTGGGCCGAAGGGCTGCTGCGAAGGAGGGAGGGTGGTGTGGTTGGAGCTCAGGGACATAGGCCCTTACGAGCCCTTCGCGGGGGAGGGAGAGCTTTAATTATATTCGTTCTTCTACATTGATTTCCTTTCTTAGATATGCACACGAGCTTTTCTCCCTTGGTAGCGAGGGAAGGGGAAATGGGGGAGGTGACACCCCATCAAAGCCCAGGTATTCTCCGGTGGGGGAAATCCTTTTACTCTCCTGTAAGGGAGCTGGGACGCGGGGAACCCCGCAGATGCTTTAGATATCCTGACCTTGAGCTCTGGTTCTTTATTCCTACAGTCTGTAACCCTATTTAGACAACCAAATTGTAAAGAAGACTTAGTGAGTTGGGGGAGGGGGCGAAGCTGAGCTCCCAAAATGGCTCCTGCCCCTCCTCGGAGGCGGCCGGCCCGGGGGAGGGGAGGAGGGGAGAGAAGGAGGGGGAGGGCTAGTCTGAGCGGCTGCCGCCGCCTCCTCCGCTCGCCCTCCTCCCTGGCGCTGACCGATGGACGAGCCGCTCCGTGGGGAGGACTCCGGACTTTGGTGGGGGGTGGGGGATTCTTTCGCCCCCGAGGCGGAGGGACAGTAACAGGAGGGAACGGGTCTGCCCCGAGGTGGGGGAGTGTGGGGAAAGGTCTGAGCTCGCCTGGAGGGGGAGGGTGTTTCCCCTGATTCACCCCTGGCAGGACTTGCTTTTTCCTATCTGAGCCAGAAGCCGGAGTGAAGTTTGGCGAAGAGGTGAGGTGGGTTACATTTTATAGGGTAGACGGAGGCGCTTGGAGTTTTTGCTCCCAGTTTAGGGCTTCCAAGGTTTTGTCGAGCGGGCAGATATTTGTGTTGGTAACCGAAGGCACGAGTGGGGGGGGGCTTGGAGGGGTGCTTGGGCGTTCCCGTTTTGGGGACGTGTTCTAGGTTTGGTGGCCTTGATAAGAACCTTTCAGGGCTTCACAAATAAGAAATGGGAGTTTTGCGTTTGTCTTTCGATTGTTTGGCCTGCGGGACGGAGGGGAGGATTTTAAGGCTCTGGCAAGCCTGAATTTTAGATTGCGGAGCATAGGAACGTTAGGTTGCTTCGTTGTTACGTTCTGAAGCCTTTCGTTTATTCGCCAGTATTACAGGCCGCGGCTTCTAAGATGGCGTCTTCTTCCTCGTTTCAGATTCCTCACCGCGGGAACCACCGCCCGCCCGCCGTTTTGCGGCCACACCCCTGCCGCGCCGAAGCCGGCTACGCCCACGCGACCCCTCCCGTCCCGCCAATGGGGGAGCTACGAATGGCACGACCTGCCCGAGCTGGGCAGTCTCCAGTTGTACGGTGCTTGGAAGCTTGGGAAGACTTCGTTGGAAAGGGAGGCGGGGAGAGGGTGCTGAAGGCTCTTGGGCGATGGCTTCTGCACCCCTTCCAACCTCCCTGTTTCCCTGGAGCCGTTCAGCCAGTCGAACCCCAGCTCAGCCAATTGGCTCAGAGATGTGGCGGGTTGCCACTTCCCTATGGGTCTATGCAGCACTCTTCTGCCTGGTGACTGACAACTTGGAAATGAGATTTGTGACGTCATCGCGTCGGCCGGCCAATAGGAAAAGCTCCCGCGGAGAGGTGTTCCTCCCCCTTCGATTGCGCCGCTTCACGCGCGTGAGCGAGCGTGCGCGCGCTGAAGGGGTGGGGGAAATCTCGAGCAGGGAGGCGCGCATGAGCAGCGAAGCTCCTCCCCCCCGCCTATATATAAAGGGCTGGCGCGGGGCTCGGCGGCGCCATTTCGCGCTGGAGTGGAGCGGCCTCTAGAACGAGCTGGAGGATTCTGCCTACCGATACAGAGCCTTCGAGTCGTCGGGGGCCGCCATTGCAATCCACATCCATCCGCTTGGAAATGGCTTTCGTCTCGGCTTATGACCGGTTACGGCGGACAGTGCAGACCCTATAGAAGCCCCCGAAGCTCCCCTTTTTCGGGCCCCGCCCAGTCCTCGGAGTCTGTCCATCCCCTCTTCTCCGCCCTCAAGAGGATTTCAAAGATGGAGGCGGCGGCTCCTTAAACCACTTTTCGTGTTCATCCGCCTCCATCCGAGATCGAAACGGGACGTCGTCCTCCTCGGACGGTCCCGACAAGAAGAGGGAACCCCTGCAGACTAACAGCGGGCTGTATTGACGACGGTGTGTGGGATCAGGGACTGTCTTTGGGTTTGAAGAGTCAGTTCCCCCCTCGCTCGCCCGCCTCAGCTGAGGCCGCCGCCATTTTCTTGCTGTTCGCCGCCTGCGGAGCGCGGCAAGCTGCCGGGAGCTCTCCGAGAGGCTGTTTTCGACCCGGTCAGGCGGGCGGGTTGTCGCCTGGAGGGCCAAGAGCAGCGGGCTCCCCTGACTTCCCGGGTTATGCCGGACCGGGCGGTGAGGGGAACCGAGGCCACCCGGACTTTCCGCGTCTGAGGGCAGCGCCGGTTCCCTGCGGTCAAGATGCTGCAAAACGTGACTCCGCACAAGTACGTCCCCGCGAGCCGCGTGTGGGAAGGGGACGTTGGGGGGCGGTGGCACGGGGGTGTGGGAAGCCGTGTTCAGGGGGAGTACGGAAAGACTCCGGCGCGTTGCTGTTTTGCGGCGCAGCTGTTGACTCGGGCTCGCGGAGGATGTTCAGCGACGGTTTTGGAACAGTGGCGGCGGCCCAGTTAACTGCGTATGGGGAGAATCCAGGTTGTCAGTTTATACACTGCTTTTTACCGCCGTGCTCCAGCCTTAGAGTAAGGTAGAGCTAGTTTGGCGGTGGAATGTAGTGAGGATGGACAGTTTTAAGTAGGCAGCCTGCATTTGCTTCTGATGTTTAGTGACGGTTTGTCATAGCCTTTTTGGGTTCGTGGCCACCTCCAGTGCCCTGTAGAGTTGCCATGGTGATAGAGCTGGATAGGAACTGGTAACGGGGATTTCCAGAATAGGGTAGAGGGGTCACTCTCCCAGCCTGTGGGTTCCTGATGTCTAGAGCTAAGTTATTAAATCCTCTTGTCTTCTAGTGAATGGGTCGGTTTGTGTTTTGTTTGGTTGCGGGGGTGGGGGGGGACGGTGTTGGGGATTGTGTTTTTCCTGACATCGAGTTTCATTCAGGACAGAAGGGTGGAGCTCTCCCAATTAGGCTTTGCGATGTAAAGAAAGATGTAATGTCTCAAATTTTAGGTGGTGGGAAACACTGATAGGGAGGAGCCCTAGAGGGGCTGTAGACTTGAACCACTGCTGGCCTTTGGTCTACAGAGTTGGTGTTACAATAGGAACTGTTAGTGGAATTGGTATTTCGAAGCTGGATGGATGGGAGGGGGCTATATATGAGGGAACTTGCTGACAAACTGAGTGGCTGTCTTTTTAATTCCCTTGGAGGAGAACTTCATTTGGTGTGAATAATTTTGGGAGTCTGGTAGCTGAGTTATTCCAGGCTGTGAAGTGTCAAAGCTGTTTGCTCATCTGAATTTGTTTTTGAGTTGGTTCTTTTCTGTTGTATCTCTAGTCCGTTTTCTGCTGTGGGGTTAACTACCCAGAGCTTGTGGAGGATGCATTCTTAAGTGGCTCACCAGCATTTTATGACATTTTTCTCCCTAATTACTTTTCTTCCTCATTTAACCAGCTTTCCTCTGGCTCAGCCACCATGGCAACCAGCAAACCCCAAGTGAGGAGGAAGCTTGGGGTTTGAGTTTCTCAGCTCCACCAGTCTTGCTTAAGCCTCATGCTCATGAGGCTATAGTTCTCGGATGTTGTGTCCTATCAGAAATTATCTTGGAGGGGTTTTGTTTGTTTGTTGTTGTCTTTACTTTTAGAGAGAACAAATAAAGCGCATCATAGTCTCCAGAAACAGGGTCCTGGATAGATATACTAACAACAAAAACTTCGAAGATTTTGGGGAGGTATCCGTTCTCTTTGAGAACAACTTGTAAAGGCTTAACAAAGCCTAGATTCATCAGGCACATAATCCAAATGCACTTTTTCCTGATTTCCATGAGATTACTACATCTAATTTTGTTTCCCTTTTTTGTAGGCTCCCTGGGGAAGGGAATGCAGGGTTATTGGGGCTGGGCCCAGAGGCAGCAGCACCAGGGAAAAGGATTCGAAAGCCCTCTCTGTTGTATGAGGGATTTGAAAGCCCCACAATGGCTTCAGTGCCAGCTTTGCAACTGACCCCTGCCAACCCACCGCCCCCTGAAGTGTCCAATCCCAAAAAGCCAGGACGAGTTACCAATCAGCTGCAATACCTACACAAAGTGGTAATGAAGGCTCTGTGGAAACATCAGTTTGCATGGCCATTCCGGCAGCCTGTGGATGCCGTCAAACTAGGTTTGCCGGTGAGTGGTGACATTGGAGTGGGGGAGGTATGTGCAAGAATGTGTGTGAGTGGAGGTGGGCTGCTTAGTATAGGTGCTGCGGCCCCTAGGGAGTTCCCATTTCTCCTCTGTAGGGAGCAGATAGCCACCACTTTCTGGATTTTTGGTCCTTTGTGATTGATCCAATTGTTT